CCCTGGGGCATCGCGCCCCCCCCCCCTTAATCCCTGCATGCTTTGAGACCTTGGGAAGATGGAAGGAGTGGCAGTGGAAAAGTACAGAATTCTAGGCCGGTTCCTCGCTTCTCCTGAATTTCAGGTTTTAACTCGCTTGTCCTAAGCCAGCCTCACTGACATAAATGGCTGATGGAAAGTATTTGTTTTCAAACTTGGTTTTTAGTAGCCAGAAAGGATTCCCGTGCTCAATGCCCCTGTAGTTTCTGTAGCTTCCCAACGTGCTTGGGGGAGACTTTTATGACTTTGGAAGCAACTTTAATGGTTAATTGTTTGTTGCATGCCTTGCGATGAAGAAAAGAAGAAGTGGAAAATGTTTGCTTCTCAGGATGTTCTTCATGTGTAGACAGACACTCTTTAACTCCTTTAAAGGTTCAAAAAACAGATTCACCTTCTTCCCCCAGATTGTAGTTGCCGGCTTACTTAAGGGATTTAAGTGGAGTTAAATTCTGGATCTTCTTTATAATATAATTTCTTTCTTCTTTAAAGTGATACTCGTGTTTTGAAAGTTGTTTGACGATGTTCACTGGTCCATGAGGCTGGTATCCTCTTGATCTCATTGAGTTAATCTTGAAAGAGTAAATAATAGCTTCTCTGGGCTATTGTGATTTATGAGGTTTAGTCAGCTCTCTGAATCTGCAATTAAAGAATGAAACTGTTCTTGCATAAATGAAGCAGAGAACAAGCAAACAAAACTTTCGTTGTTCGGCTTAGTATACGACGACGTCTTGATTTTTATCCTCTATGCCGCCTCGGTTTAGCTGAAGGCAGGTAGAATATTAAAATTAACTCCTTAATTAAATTAAGTATATTTTATGCTACACGAACTCTGCATTTCAGGGGACAAAAGTAAGAAAAGATTATGTCAAACATCCAATTCCAGGTATATGTTTAGGGTTTTGTTTGTTTGTTATTGCTTGCTGGCTTGGCAACATTTGTGTCTTGAATACTTGAACTGTCTATAGCCTTAGTTGAATCAATAATGTTACAGATAACTCTTGACAAAGTTGCCCCCTTTTTTAGCCAGTTTGCTACAGTCCCTTTGACCAAAAACAGAGTTGGCACTTCAGTAAGGCAAGGGTACTTTGGAGTGATTTGCAAACACTTCCTGTTTTTCATTTCAATAAAGCGGAGAGTTTAATATGTCCTAATGCAAGATCATTGAGCAAGGATTGTCTGGAGGGTTTGGTAACACGGATGTTGTGCCTGCAATGTCCAGATTGTTCACAATACCATTTATTGCAAGCCAAGTGTTCTGAATTTTGTAAGCTTTATTTTAAAATGAGCAAATTGTCATTTAGCATTTGGGAAATCTTTTCCTGTGGCACATCCCATCTTATCATAAACATGGCTCTACACCTTGTAAAATCAAGAGAAGTATGAAATGGGTTTTCTTCTCTGTTTCCACAGCAGTGTGTAAGATCTGCAGTGGTCCTACTCTGCACCCCAAGAAAACTCTGGGTATGGAAATTTGATTTTATTCTCTCTCTAATCTAGCTTTCCCCATCCTTGCACCATCTAGATACGTTGAATTGCAGCTCCATTCCTCTCCAGACAGTCTGTTTGTGTTTATCTACATGACTCTTTGCTGTACTGTTGATAGGAAGCCTACATTGGGCAATGCGATGATATTAGCATAATTCCAGGGCTGGAATGGTTTGAGGCCTTCTTCACATATCTACAGCTCTCTGCTGTCTCTCCATTCCTTAAATAGCAATGTGTTTGTGTTTTAATCTCAGAAATACTTGGTGGACTTGTTGTTCCTCATGAATCAGGTTTCCTGTTTTCCTCCTCCTCCTCCTCCTCCTCTCTTCTCAGTGATTTATGTTGATGGTTCAACAGGATCTCTTCTGGCTTTTGTTTCAAAAGCACCCAATTGTGTAACGCGCCTTGAAGTGCGCAACACGCACGAAAGGCCCACGATGAACTCATCCTGCTGGGGAAAGGCAGATCCCTTGATGGCGGGTGGGCACTCCTAAGCTCCTTGGGGCACGATGGTACAGCGGATGAGGTCCCTCAGGAATCCGAGGCACATAGACTTGGCCGGTAATCCCTGTTTTCCCATAGAAAAATTCTCCCGAAAGCACCTCAGTCCCAACTGCAAAGTTGCAGAGTCAGAGAGTTGGGAACAGATTCGCCCCAATTCCTTGCTGAAGCTTTCGTTCTAGAAGCCCCGAGTGATTAGAGGATAGCGCAGAAGAAGGAGAAGATAAAATAAAAGTAGGCGCATGTCAGCCTGCCTTCAAGTGAGACAATCCTATTAAAGTTTTAAAGGGGGGGACTCTGTCACCACGGTCTCTGTTTGCCTAGGCAGCTGTTACCTGAATGATGAAACAGGAGACTTGTATGAAGTAAAGTAGTTTGTGCTTTAGAGAAACGACACGGATTCCCTCCTTCTTCTTCTCCTCTCCTGGAGTACATTTTACTTTCTAAACCTTGGCTTGATTCTTCTTCTTTTTTTCTTCCCCCTGCAGAACTTCATGTTTGGACAGTTGGAAGGCAAGAAAATTCCAGGACTCCTTGCTGTTCTTCTGTTGATAGGCTCCCCCCCGCCCCCCCCCCCGTCAAATGCGCAGCCTCTTTGTCTTATTGGTGTCTGGTGATTTGTGACTTCTCCCTCAAGTCTCTCATGAAAGATTGGAGCAATGGCCGTAATGAAAACCCAGTTCTCTGTTCACCCCCCCCCCCCACAGGTCACCGAAAAAGGGACCATTTAGAATTGGAGGGCAGTGGGGAGGAGAGGTTGGGGGTCTCTTTGGCTCCTTTTGTACCACCGGAAAGAGTTGGATTCCAGAGCTGCAGGGGGTCCCGGGCTCCCCTTTGAAGTCTGGTGGGGTTTGATTCCAAGTCAACAGATGGGGCCTGGGCCATCCTGTGCTTCCCCCCCCCTCCCCAAAGTGGTGTCAGACCTGGAACAAGAAACATTTCTGGCACGTTTTACATTTTCGCTAGAAGAACGCAGGAACATCTTCTGGCTGTTGCTTTTGATCGGCTTTTTAAAAAACCTGTAGCTACGTAAATGCCTTTTATTATCCTGAAAACTCAGAACTTTCCTGCAGTTTCAATAAATTGTGATTTACTTTCCTTACCCACAGAGTATTACGGTATGAATCTCCTTTTGCCCTGTGCTCTCTAACAAGTGGGAGAGTGTCACTCAGGGGTGTCCAGCTTTGGCCTCTTTAACACTTGTGGACTTCAACTCCCAGAATTCCCCAGCCAGCCATTGAAGTTGAAGTCTGCAACTATTAAAGTTGTCACGGTTGGACACCCCTGGGGTACCTTGAGTTAACCCTCAGGACTGAAGGTACGCTAAAACACTGTGCCTGGTGCTAATTATTCGTGTTTTCTGCTCTTCATTTTGGAGTTTTGAATGCTGAATTGTATTAATCTGCCTATTGCTGATAAATATAAACATTTATTCCTTCTCTGTATAGATACGTCTATGGCCTCCTACTTAATGAAAAGAAAGGCCCTATCTCTAAAACGGGGAGCCCAAGCTATATTGTGACTTTGGAAAGCTACGCAGGTTAAAATCCGCTGAGGATTTGGAAACCACAAGTTAGAATTTCTGAAGTCGGTGGCGGATCACTTACTTCTGTAAACAAAACTGCCTGAAAGTGTCAGCTGCTCCTTTCATGACAGAGCCTAGATTGTGTTAGAAACGAGGCTTATGGCCCTTAGGGACCACAACTATTGTGAGCATCTGAAGCTGCTTCTGAGATTGTGAAATGCTTTGTCCAAGGTTTTTGTCCAAGGACAGGACTCCAAAGAAGCTCCCAAGGGCGAAAGGACCGTTTGCCATGATGTGGTTTGGGGAAGAATTTAGCTTCCAATCTGCACATGCGTCCCCCTCTGCCCCGCTTTCTCTCCTCCGCTGTTCATAGCCCTGCCTTCCTTCCGCCTGAGTCACAGGCTGCCCGTTGGCTGAGAAGGCCAGAAAAGGCAAAGTGTTTTCGAGGTGGGATCCAGTGGCCGCACCAGGCATATCAGGAGGCCTAATTGCAGATACAGCTTCAGTTGCAGGAATAAATCACAGGAGCCCGAGAGAAGCGAGGGACAATCGTCTGACAGTTTGCTGCAACTGCCCGAGCAGTTCCCCCTCTCCTCCTCCTCCTCCTCCTCCTCTCTTTTCTCTTGGACAAGTCCACTCGCGTTCGGGTGTTTTCGCCAAGCAGCTGCTGCATAAAGTTTTAATTTTGATTCGTGCTGCAGTTGCAGCTTCAGGGCCCCGTGGAGACCCCGTTTCTGCTGAGTTCACACGTTTCCTGGACGATTCATCAGCAAAGTAATAATCGGCCAGGGCCTCTTTAAAGAAGAGCTAATTCCCTGCTAATGTAATGCTTTGCTTCTAATGAAAGCCATTTATCATGTCTTTTCTATATTTACCCAAGGATGATCTGTCTTATCTTTTCTGCTCTGCCTGAGGGCGCCTTGGCAGAAGCGGGTCAGAGGAGGCGCCCTTACACCTATCTCGGGTGCGCCAGGGTGGGTTCTCGGCCCTGAGGTTACGTCCCTGGGGGCTCCGTGATTCAGGGAACCGGCCAGAGGGAGGAGGGGAAACGATCTCAACAGAAGTGGCTTCCAGGAGCGGCTGCCATCTTGTCTGTGGCCATGGTTCCCTGCTCCTCCTGGTCCTTTAGCTGGCAATGCGAGCTGCTCCCGGCGGTCCTCTCTCTCTCTGTGTCTGGGGGCTCCGGTGAAGAGCTCTTGGAGCGCTACTGCTTGCACGGGGCTGCCTAGCATCGCTGGGAGTGGGGCTGGGAGCCTCTTTCGGGAGCGGCCTTGGCTGTGATGTAGCTAGCTAGGTGCCGCTGAGGCAAGCTCCGGTCCCGTGAGCCAATGGACAGTCCCCTTCCGCCATGTCCGGGTGGGTGGGATGCCGGAGTTGGGTCCGGCCACCTTTTGAAATGCAAGGGAGCCATTGTCACGGGGTTACTAACGGGGTTCCCCCTCCCTTTCAGGCCAAGCTCCCCGGCTCCTTTCATACCGTTGATGAGGAGAGGAAATGACTGTATCGGACCTCGCTGCCCGTCGGTTGTTCTCACTCCATCGTCCTGCCCGAGGGACCTGCAGGGGGGGAACCGTTGGCCTGGCGGCCGATCCCTGAGGACTTTGGGGAGAGATCTGCCTTGACGGAGCAGGCGGCAAAAATGACAACTTCGTCGATCAGGCGGCAGATGAAGAACATTGTGAACAATTATTCGGAGGCCGAAATTAAGGTCCGGGAAGCGACTTCCAACGACCCCTGGGGCCCCTCCAGCTCCTTAATGACCGAGATTGCAGACCTGACGTACAACGTGGTGGCCTTCTCGGAAATCATGAGCATGATCTGGAAGCGGCTGAACGACCACGGCAAGAACTGGAGGCACGTCTACAAGGCTCTGACCCTGCTGGATTACCTGATCAAGACCGGGTCGGAGCGGGTGGCCCAGCAGTGCAAGGAGAACATCTTTGCCATCCAGACGTTGAAGGACTTCCAGTACGTGGATCGGGACGGGAAGGACCAGGGCATCAACGTGCGCGAGAAGTCCAAGCAGTTGGTCTCCCTGCTGAAGGACGACGAGCGTCTCAAGGCCGAGAGGGCCCAGGCCCTGAAGACCAAAGAACGAATGGCTCAGGTGGCCACCGGGGTGGGGAGCAACCAGATCTCCTTCGGTCGAGGGTCCAGCCAGCCCAATCTGTCCACCAGCTACTCCGAGCAAGAGTACGGGAAATCGGGAGGCTCCCCAGCTTCCTACCATGGGTGTAAGTGCAGGTTGTGGGCTTTGGGGTCCTTCCGCACTCTGCCCCTCTTCCGACGGGAGGAGAGGCGGGCCTGCGAACCAGCTACTGGGGTCTGGCCCTCGCTCGGCTGGTGCTTGGATGTTCTCCGGAGCAGAATAAGAAGCCCTGGAGTTGGGTTGGAAACGGTGTTGGAGACACCTCCCTGCAGGTGTTCCATCCCATCCCGCTTGGTTATAATTTGGAGTCTTCTTCTCTGGTAGAGAATTTTGTTGCATCTTTATAGAGATGGAGAAATGTCTCATTGAACTGTTAGAGCTGAAAGGTTGGAGTACTAGATTCTTGGACCGGTAATAGTAATTTTCTAAGGTAATTTCTGTGAGTCTGTGAGAAGCCTGGTTGCCATCCTTCCCCCCCCCTTTGGGCAACGTTTCTCAGACACACCTAGTGGGGAGCCCTGGGGTTCCCCAGAAGGCTCAGCCAGCTGAAATACCCTCTGGGATGTGGGTCACTTCTAGTGTCGGGGAACCCAGCCTGGAGTTGCCCCATGGCAGAGCTCCAGTTTTTGACTTCCTTGTAGTTTGGGCATCCAAAGGTTTTGGGAAGCGGCGACAGGGCAGGTCTCAGAGTGTCCGAATTGGATCTACTCAGTGCCATCTTGCGCAAACATCTGAGGGAATGATCAGGCGCTTTGTAGCAGGATAACAAAGGGTCCCTTCATGGCTTACAAGGAAACCGTTTAGGCTGGGCCGTTGGGAGACGAGGCTTTCACTGCAACGCCGGGACGCTCCGGAAATCTAAGAAATGGTGGTGATTGAGCTGTCCTTGCTGGTCTCCTCATGACATCAGGGGTTTCAAATGTGGAGTGGAAGGTGGAGGTAGGTCGCTCCCATTTGCAGGCACCGTTTTATAAAATGTAACGGGGAAGTCGGCGCATCTCAGTCCGAAAGGCTGCTGTGATTTTAAATCCCGGAGAAATTTTAAGCATGCCTCAGAAACAACTTGCAGTTAGCTGAATGTGGAAACTGAGGGAGGTGAGCTGTCCTAACCAGATGTACTCGGGCCAACCGCGCTGAGTCCGGAGGGTTTTGCTCTCTGTCCTTGGTGTGCCTGGAATCGTCCTTATCAAGGCTTCCTGGTCTGGATCCGGGGGAGGGTGAACCTTTCGCTTGGTTTGACGTCGCGTCCAGACGAATGCTTCATGGACCGAAGCAGGCCTGGGGAGGAAGCAGAATGCCAGGGAGAGCGTAGTAGCTTTTGGGCAATATTTCTTTATGAGGATTGTCTACTTTGCCCTTCTAGCTTGACCTACAGAAGAGGCCTGGGATAGAGGCCTGGGGATTTCTGTACGTTAAGTGTGCCCTTTTTCCAAGGAATAACGGCAGACAGTGGGGTGCGTGTCAGCAGAGGAAACCTTTCCCAGCCGTAAGAGCCTCCCAGGCTGTTAGGTTGCCCCTCGGCCCGGCTTGCTGGTGCCACCTGATAGGGCCTCATGCTGGCAGAGAGAGAGAGAGGCAGCAGTTCTGTGTTTAGGGTGAGTCCAGTTTAGGGCCTGCCTTCAAGAGTGTCAGCGTCAATCTTAAAGGGTGGGGGGCCTAGGGGCCCCTACCCAATCAGACCCTCCTGGCACCCCACCCGGCTTTCGGATCAGTCTGTATGTGCAGCCTGCGAAATGGGGAACCTCAGCCTGCCCCTCCCGTCACTTTTGGGGAGAGGGCAAGTTAGAGTGGAGAACCATCTTTGCGAATCCCCTCTTCCCAGCCCCAAAGATCTGTGACTGTAAACCTCCTGTTTACTTTTCCTCAGGCAGATTTGGCAGTTTACAATTCTGGGTTATCTGTTTCTTACTAAAAGGAGGGTTGGGTTGGGTTGGGTTCTAATCTAATCTAATCTAGTCTGCCCGGGGACCTTACCGTTCAAAGGTAGATGAGAGGAATGTGTGTCCCGTTCCCCCCCCCCCACTTGGCCTCAGTTGTGGACGTGGCGCTGACCCTGCGGAGGAGGACGGCTGAGGTGGCCAAGGGGAGGCCTCAGCAGCTGAGCTGCTCGGAGAGAGCCGAGCTTGTGCCCGTTTTCCCCTTGCAGCTACTTCACCAAGAGTGTCTTCGGAACTGGAGCAGGCCCGGCCTCAGACCAGCGGGGAAGAGGAACTGCAGCTGCAGCTGGCTTTGGCCATGAGCAGAGAAGTGGCAGAACAGGTGGGTTTCTCCCAGAGCAGCAGCATCACCCGGTACACCTGGGGTTGCTCGGCTGTCTCCTCCGGAAAGGTGAAAGGAGGCAAAGGGCTGGGAGGAGCACAGCCCTCGGTTCCCTCCCCTTCTGGGTGTGGTGGGTTGGATTAGCAGGGGGCCGGTTCCGCAACCCTGCAGGGGCCCTGTCGGCACCGCCCCAATCCCTCTATGAACTGCAAATGGCTCCTGGAAACGTGCCTCCCAGCTTGGCTGTCATGGTTAAGCAAGGAGCTGACGATCCGTGGAAGCGTCTGACAGCTGTTACGCGTTACGCACGATCAAAGGAAAGCGGCAGCCTTTTGGGGAATGGATGTGAATCACCCCATTGGGCCACTCTGGAACCATCAGTCAAATCCTAAGCAAAACCTTTGCAAGTCTGCGATTAGGCCTTGAGGGCCAGTTTCCCAGTCTGGCTTCTAAAACATTCAGTGGACGAGAGTGGAAAATTCTGAGTCTTCGAGGCACCCGTGCCTCTGCAGGGGAGGTGAAGCAGGAGTGGAGAGCGGGCGCTTTAGCTTCTTTGGTTTTGGTGCCCACCAGATCAGGGCTCTCCAGACGTGTCAACGTCTTAAGCCTTGTGGATTTCAACTCCCTGGGATGTGTAGATGAATAGGTAATGAAGCTGTTACCTGTGACGCAACTGGGCTGGGAGTGTTGGCTGTAGCCTAGGCCAGCAAAGTGCCAGCAGAGCAAAGTGCCCTTCCCTGTCACGCCAAGGGGAGGGCACGGACGAGTCCCCGAGCCGGACTTGTGGCTTTGCTTGAGCCATTGTGGGACCCTGGTTTAAGCCTCCCCCCCTCCTCCTCTCTGCAGGAAGAGCGCCTGCGCCGCGGCGATGATTTGAGGTTGCAGATGGCGTTGGAAGAAAGTCGCAGAGATACTGTCAAATTTCCCAAAAAGAAGGAGGTAGGCGGTATCCTTTGCAAAGAATTCTCGGAGCTCGCGGGGAGGGTGGGACGGATTAGAAACAGAGCCAGCACTGCAACTGTTCAGAGACAAGAGTGTTTAGCCTAAGGGGGCGTCCCTTCCGTACTGGGATGAAAAGGCCAAGGGATCAGCCGGGGGCTCCTGAAAAGCGTGAAATGGGGCGTTTTGCCCCCTTCCCTGCGCTCCCGTCGTCTTCCTTTTTGAAAAAAAGGGGGATTTGTGGGGGTCCCGTGGAATGTTTGTTCCCGGCTAAAAATAACCTTTGTCAGCAGCACGCAGCGTTGCTGGACCTCATGGACGCGCTGCCTTCTTCCGCCGCCACCCCGGCCCCCAAGGGAGAGTCTTGGAAGCCCCCAGCTGCAATCAAGAAGGCCGACCCTTGGAGGGCCGCTCCAGCCAGCACCGCCCCCTCCGATCCCTGGCAATCGTTCGGTAAGAGTGGGGCAAAGGGGTCTGCTGCTGCCCTCTCCCCCAGAGCCCTCGAGGTGGTGCCGGTCCCCGGAGGGTCTCCCTTGTAGTTCGGTGTCTTTGGGAAGGCCGGGATTTGGGGGAACATTTTATTCCTAAACCCAGGGAGATGCCACCCATCCCCCGCCCCAAGGTTGAAGGAAACGGGCCTGCAGCTGCGACGATGCCTTGCGGGCTTTGACTCGATTCGATGATAGCGGGCCCTTGTTTTAGCTTGCCAGCTCCTTGGCTCCCTCGGAGGGGGCTGAAGAAATCAGATTTATGCATCTAAATGCCGCTGAAAAGGGCGGCTCAGAGCGGAACAGAGGCCTTTAAGTCTCGCTTAGCTGGACTGGGTTTCCAGTGGCATTCAGTCAGCGCCTTCTCAGAAGGGGGTCTTGTCCTCCAGGGCTGCCATTGCTGCGTCTGCCCGCTTTTGTCACCCGATTCATGAAAGAGCAGCTTGTTCGGGAAGCTTCCACTTAGGGGAAGCCCCAGGCAGTTCGCCCTTCTTGCCTGGAATGGTTGACACGTTTGCAGGAAATGGAGGCAGCAGCGAAGAGATTAGCTGCTTTCTCCGGAAAGCTCTGCGGTCTTTCCCATCTTCGGGACACAGTGACTGGGAACCTGCACCTGTTTGTAGATGTGAATCAACGTCTTAATGTGTGCGCGTGTGTGTTTTCAACACAACCAACCAACAGAATTTGGTTTCTCATGTTTCAAATCAATGTGCCAAGAAGACGGGGTGAATAGTGACTTGATATTTTAATTCTGTCACTTAATCATGCTATGCTAATCAAGAAACAACGTTTTAAGTTTTTTAAAAAATAATAATTAAAAAATCCTGCCAGACACTAGTTTATAATGAATGAGTTATACGGTAATATGCCTTGGACAGGCAGCAAGTAGATCCGGATAAGTGGATCTTAAGTGTCTGAGAAGATCAAGAAGGATTCTTAATGGCTCCTTGTTTAACTTCAACAGAAGCAGCAAAAGATTCCTTTGCCCTACTTGAAATCCCATGTGTGAGTTTAGGATTTCTCTTGTGAAAAATGGCGCACCAAATTTTGACTTAGGGTTCTAAAGGTTGTGTGTGTGCTATTTGCCCCTGGTCCTGTTGGGGAGCATCTGACTTGGGATTAGGGTTAAATAGATAAACCCCTCCAAACGGAAGTTGCCCTCTCGCTGGTAAGGTCTGACTTTGCTGTGAAGCTTCGGGGTTTGTACCTCCTTTGCCTGCAGGTGCCAAACCAGCCACCTCCGTTGATCCGTGGGGAGCCCCCGCGGCCTCCTCAGCTGCCCAGCCTCTCCCAAAGAGTGCCGATCCTTGGGCTCCTTCCCAGCCCTCGTCTGTGGCAACCAAGACAGCCGTGGACCCCTGGGGAACAGCACCAGTCAACAAGCCAATCTCTGCTTCTGGTAAGTAGGATGCCTGGCTAAGTCTGAGGCATCTTCTCTGGCCTGTGGGTGAGAAGGGGCTGGACGTGGGGGCAGAATGACCGTCACGCGGATGCAGAGGTGGGAAATAAGAACAGCCCAGCTCAAGGGATGGGAAGGCTTTCTTTAAAACAATGAAAGGTGACGGCCGTCTCTCTTCAGCAAAGGAGAAGCGGCGGACATTCTAACGCTTTCCTTTTATTCCCCAGACATTCCCCCCTGGGCAAAACAGTTTTTTACTTGGGGGAGTTTTCCTAGGATGCAGGCGTTCCTGTGTCAGGACTCCTCTCACTTCCATTCCATTCCATTCCTGAGGCCACTGGTAGCTTGGTCTGTTTCTTGAAAGAAATCCACTTCAATCGGTCTGGAGCCCGAGAGGCTCATGTGCTGGGAATTCACTCACCCGAATCTTTGGCGGGTGGGCTGAAGGAACCTAGCAGAGGTTTCCTGATGAAGCTAAATAGGTTAGGGCAGGGGTCTCCAATCTTGGCAACTTGATAACATTTGTGGATTTCAAGTCCCAGAGTCGAAAGTTGCCGAGGGGGGAGACCCCTAGGTGAGGGCATCCTGCAGGGGTCAAGAGCTGGTGGCTCAGCCAAACATGGAAAGGCCCTGATCCCAGCCTCTCCAGTCAGGGTGGCCAAGATTCTCGGGTGGAGTTTTGCAGCTGGGTGAAACCAGTTATCTTGTCCTCCACTAATGAGAGAGAGAGAGAGAATTAACACCCTGATTGGCAGGTGTTGGCGGAGACAGTATTTTTCTAGGATTATAGAGAAAGAGGCCTGGCTGTGGTGGCAAGATTCTTGTTTTGCATTGCAGGTAGCAAATCTTTCGACCTCTTCAGCAATTTGAACGGGACAATTAAAGACGACTTTTCTGAATTCGACACCCTTCGGACTACTAAGCAAGGTATCTTTGAAATGGACCCCGTAGTTGGGCTGCTCTGAAAGGGGGCTTGGACACCTGGCGGGAAAACACCGCTGGATGATCTTGATAGCCTCCCCCAAATTAGAAGAAGAAGCAGAAGAAAAAAAAAAGCCACAAGGGAGAACCTGACTCCTGTGAAGATTTAGGAAAACAGGTCGGCGTTCTCAGGGTCAGTGCTTGGTCAGGCTGGGATTTCAGTCCCTTGGACGAAGCAGAAAGAAAAAAGAAAAACCAGAGGGACGAGTAAAGCAACCGGCTAACGTTTGAGGGAAGCGCCCGGCCTAGTAGAGGGAACGTGTCCTTTTGAGAGCGATCTTTTCCAAGAGCCGTCTTTTCTTCCTTTCCCGCGGTTCAGGTTCTGCTTTGTCGGCCCAGAACAGTGGGACTACCAGCCCGGACCTCTCGGACTGCCAGCCAGCCGCCTTCTCCTCCTCCTCCTCCTCCTCCTGCAGTAAACAGAGCGCCGCTCGGAAAACGCCCGAGTCTTTCTTGGGCTCCAATGCTGCTCTGGTGAATCTGGACTCCTTGGTATCCAAGCCCCTCCAGCCAGCACCGTCCCTCAACCCTTTCTTGGCTCCAGGTACGTCATTGCCGAAGGTGGGAAACGGGCAGGTGAATTCAAGGGCAGCAGCTGATGTCACGATGCGCTTATTTGGTAGCTGCGTTTGGAGGGAATAAATGTTTTGCGTGGCGGGAACAGGACCCAGAAACACAAGGTGGGCTCTTGGGGAGTCAGCTGAAGCCCAGTTGAGGCAGTCATCCTAAAGCACAGGAAGAAGTGTGGACTTCAACTCCCAGAATTCCCCAGCCAGCTGAGAGGCTGCTGGAGTTTCTCCACACTGCTCAGTGGAGGTTTGGGGGTGGGGGGTGGGGGGAATTGCCTGGGAGGAAAGGTTTGGGGCGACTCGGGGGCTCCTGTGGGCCAGTGAGAGGACCCTGGTTCCATGTTTCATTTCCACCCAGACCGGAGTTGCTCAGTTGCCCTCCTGGTTGGCCACCAGCCGCGGAATCTGGATTCTGGGGTGCTGCAGACCCTCCTCTGCCCCCATTCCTGGGCAGTGGGCGTTGCACGGCCCATCGGGAGGGCCCCTGCCTCTTGGCCTTGCACCGAACGGGGCCTCGGTGGCAACCATGTGCTTGGGTAGCTCTTTGCTGCTGTCCGACTGGAGGCCGTGGAGGCCGTGGACTGACTCTTCCCCCCCCCCCCTCTTCTCTGCTCCCAGGATCGTCGTCAGCGTCGTCGGCTTCTCCTTCTCCAGCCACAGTCAACCCCTTCCAAGTGAACCAGCCGCAGCCCCTCACTCTCAATCAGATGCGGGCCAGCCCCGTCCTCGGAGGCAGCCTGTCCTTCAACGCGGCGCTGGGGCCGGAACTGGGGGCCCTTCCTTCTGTGGCTCCCGTGGTCCTGGCCCCCCTGCCAGCTGCGGGCCCGGTGGCCCCTCTAACCCAGATGGGCCCGGGCGTGAGCAGCGTGGGCGCGATGGGGTCCGTGGCACAGCCTCTCCGCCACCCGGGGATGCCCGCCTCGGTCTCTCAGCCGGCCAACGCCACCAACCCTTTCCTCCTCTGAAGGAAGGCCGGAGTGCGGAGCCCCCCTGGGAAAGGCGGGCAGGACCTCCTCTGAGGCTGGCTTGGGCTGAACCGCCAGTGCCGGAGACCGGGGCGGCTAGCCTGGCGGGCTGCTGTATGTAGCCGCCTTCGGCGGGGACTCCCGGTGCCCTCGGCCATTCGCCCAGCCTGCCCTTTGGCCGCAGGTGGTACTTCTCGCTCGGGTTCTCGGCAGCCTTGCAGCAGAAACGCTTCGCCGTTTGTCACCAGAGTCAGTTTCTGCTCCCTCCTTTTCGTTACTCATTTCAAGGTAATAGGAAGAGTTTGCCACCTCAAAGAGCCCCCCCTCCCTGTGTTGTTTTGTAGGACCATGAGCCGCACCCGGAAGTGCCGCAGCCCGAGCCAGCCCCGACCCCGTGCTTGCAAACACCCGTTCGAGACTCAGAGAGTGCCAGTGAACATGTGTGCACATAACCACACGCTCTTCTTCTAGACTGTTTGGTTCACCCAGAGTCCTTACCAGTCTTGGCGAAAGAGGCACCTGGCCTTTGTTTTCTCTATACATCCTTGCACACTAAAATGTCCAGCAAAACTGTGCCTCCCTTTCCTCCCCCCCCTCCCCTCTGAGAATCAGGTGGGGAGGGCCGGGCGAGCTCGTCTGCGGGAGGAGAACCGAAGCAAGCTCTGTGAAGTCCCGCAAAGTTTTTGTGAAACCCCGCAAGTGTGCTGTTTTGTATGCAGTGTTGAATTTCTACACTTAACCACGGACGGCCCGTGGCTTCCCTCGGAAGGGCTGGCAGGCTGCCCTGGTGTTCAGGGCTGGCTTTGGCTCCGTGCTTTCTGATGGTGGCTTCATTTGGGAATTAGTTACACGTGCCCTTTTAATTTGACTTGCAATGCAAGGCTTTAAAAAAGGCATAGGGTGGGGGATACCGAGGTAATACTGGGGTAATACTCGGGAACTGATCTGGGGGTGACCTTTTGTTATTATGCAGTAATCCTTGTATACTTTTGCACTTTTAAGGACAGGGCCGTTTTGGATTTGAGTTCGCCAGGTGAGCGTTCCGTTTTCACTCTTGCTAATTTTTATAATGTTCTTATTTAACAGTCGATAGTTTTGATAGATTTATCAGGTTTAGTGGAAAAATTAAGATACCATCTTTCTTTTCCAGTTCTCTTCTTCTTTTTTTGATTTAATGTTTCTTATTTATATATAAATATTTTAGCTCTTGGTTTTCATGAAGAGAATTTTAAAGGGAATATCGACAAACCCACCTACTTTTGAACAAAGACATTTGTATTGGGGGGGGGTGAATAGAATAGCTCCTGTAACATGAATTTTGAGAGGAATATGGCTAAGGTGACATTTAAAAAGGAAAACACTACAGTTGCCTTTCAGTTTCCCCGTTTTATGACTCCATCTCTCCACTTCATGTTAAAAAAAACCTTCTGGAAGCCTTTGAGAGGTTGAAGATCATGGAAAATAAATGACTTCTCTCTTGTAATACTTTCACCAACTTAAAAAAACAAAACATTGCTGTATGAATGTTACTTTTAATTAACTAAACTCTTCTAACTAAAGAATGCACTCCATGGTGTTACTTGGCTCTGTTTACAATCTTCTCCAAAAAGTAAACTTGATTCTTTCGGCTCATTTTTTTCCTACTAAGTCCTACTCAGGTTTAAGTAGTTAATAACTCTTTGAAGATTCTTGCTTTCTTTTCAAATGGCAACTACAAGAAAGCACGCATAAACACGTATGGGTGCTTGCACACAGATGTTCTCCGCTGGACGAGGTCTCTTGATGCTGCACCCTCGCTGTGCGCAATAGGGACAGCTGTTGGGTAGCTTTTAATCATTTATTCTTTTGAAGAAACATCCGTGCCGGGGTGGGCGGACTGTGCCAGCGGGGGTCATGGCAAACTTTGTCAAAAGCAGTGGTGTGGTTGAAAGTGGCAAGAGGGGTGCTTTGCTGGTGGCCCTGAGGGAAGATATCTGATAATCCAGGATGCCATCATGACAGACAGACATTGCACGGTTAATGTGTACAAGCGAGGGCGTTTCAATTGCCAGCTGCCTCCACTTCTCATTTCGTGTCCTTTACCTTGCGGCACAGTTGTTGTGTTTGATTCCTCACAACAGGCCATTTCACACTGGGTAGCCTTGAACACCCTAGTGTGGCCTTCTCCACCCAGGTCCTCTTCCAGCTTCTGCGCTTGCCTTGTGTGGCCAGCATGGTCAAGTGGAAGAAAAGAGCTTGTACTATATGGAGCTAACCCAGGCACAGAATGCCAAATAAGCATTTCGTCTGCAGTCAACAGGAGTGTTGTTGTCTGGTGATTTTTTTTTTCTTAAGTAGCCAAAGGTTTTTTAATAGTTTAAATTAAACATGTCACCTTCCTGGGATTGCTTTCCTTCCAATTAATGTAGACTAACAACATTATTAACTGTCCTCTTCTCTTCCAATCCCGCCTTCTTTGAAGTGACCTAAACTTCAGAATTCTCCTAAAGAGATTTTCTGGTTAAATTAATTCATTTCTCCTTTTATTTGCTCAATTTTTATTCGGCCAAGTCTGTCTTTTTGCACTGAGTTTCTCAGTAAGAGGAAAGAGGGCTAGCATACATGGGCAAACGGTTGAGGGTTCGAGACAGGAGGTAGTGTTGGCTGGCCACCCACCCACATGTGGGGATAGAGAAAAGGGACTAAAAAGATAACATTCTTTGTACCAGATTTTTTTTTAAAAAAGTCTCCCTAGTTCAAGGAAAGTGATGACACCCAATTTCTTTCCGCTCCATTTTCTATCACCTGTTTTGTATGGAGCAGGACATAAATCTCTAGCCTGACTTGGCTTCTGTGGCAGAATCTTTAGGGAAACGTTTGGAGCTACTTTCCTAACTGTTGGAAACGGGCTACTTCGAATACATGCTGTTGAATTTTTTATCGGCTATCGTTTATCCTTTGTACCGCTGTATCATATAATGTCCCCTTATAGCAGAAGCGAGCGTGATGGTCACTCAGCCATAGAAAGCTGGGGCTTGTCAGAATTCAGTGTCTTGTCAGAATTAAACACATATTGCTCATATATTCCCAGACTGTTAGAGAGGGAATATCTCTAACGCTAGCAGATATTCCCTCATCCAGCGAAGGCTTATGGGTGTTCTTTAAATAATAATAATAAATAATAATATCTCTGTGCCAATGGCATGCATGACCCTTGATGGGTTCCCCCATAGAACTTCCAACCTTGAAGGGTTGTCCAGAGGGGAAGCTGGGATAAAATGAGCCGGCTTAGAATTATGGTCCTCGTAGTCCAGGACATCTGGAAGACCCTAGTTTGAGGCAGGAGAGACGATGATTTAAAGATATTGGCGGGTGCCACTCTTCCATGGTGGCCCCGGGGAGATTTCTCCCTGTTCTCCGCCACTTTGGCTGATGTGTCCCTGGCCCTCCGGGTGGAAGGTAGTCAGTTTGGATTCGGGTTTGTTCCGTGTCTTGATTCCTGGATGAAAATTTCCTAAGAAAACCCTGTTCGGAGCACTTGATGGACTGGGATGTCCCAGCCAACGTTGACAAGAGCTGCACCCTATTTCACCGTATGGCAGAAGAGCCCAGCGCCAATCAGCGCCAACGCTGCTTAAGACATTTTTGTCTTGGGGAGGTCAACCGAAAGCCAACTAGAGGCTGCTTGCTGCCAAAGCCCCCAGCAGGAGGACAGGAAGGCGGGGAAATGGCCGGGGAGATGCAGGCATTTCGCAGCATCCATGAATGTGGCTGCTCTGGTCCTCTGAAGGACTGGTCTGCCTACTCTCCCCCCTAATAATTGGTTTTGTAGGGTTTTTTTAAAAAACCAAAACACCAACCACGGACCAAACTGTTGCTCAAGCCATCTGTTCATAGCAGCAGCCAGTGGGCCCCACTTCCTCCACCTCCCCAAGTTCTGGCTCTTCTCTTCTCCTCCCAGCAGAACATTACATCACTTGTCCCTCTAGATTTGCACACCGCTCATTTGTGGAATCTGTTTTATGCACTTCTGTGATAGTTCTTCCATTTTTCCTGATAATTCTGCCTCCAATTTAACTCTTCATCCTTCCAGACACCAAATGGAGCCTTTGATCAGGCAGCTGGCCTGCTCTTCCCTACAGATGAAATGTACTTCCATTTCATCCGCGACCAATGAGGGAGCAATTAGATTAGCACTCTGGCTTCCAACAAAGCAATTTTCTTTACTTTGGAAAGCTCCGTCTGCAGACATCACCCTTGTCGTCCCAATTCTGTTCCTTAATCTGTTGGTGACCTAGCTGGCCCAGATCTTTCCATCATTTTGTGGAGCGGCAACGTTGGTTAGTGCTAGAAAAACATTCTCCGAATGCCTCCTGTTAGACCATATCAAGTCATGGGAAAAGACCATCTCAGTCTGAGTCATGGACTGTGGAGCCCACCTGAACTTCGAAGTGGCTGTGCTTGAGTCTCCATCTCATGTCCAGGAGAGAAACTGGTGCCCTTGGAACAGGATCTCTGCAATTCCTTTGCTCCTTTGGTTTCTCTGCTGGTTCAGATGGGAGCCCTTCTGTGGCTCGTGCACCAGCACCTCTGGTCAACCCCCCGGCCCACCCTGAATTGCCGGCTGCTTCAAACCCTCCTGCTCCTGCTTCCATGCCAGGAGAAGGGCTCCTTTGAAGGCCTACTTCACGAGACCCGGAGCTGCAGGTGGGCGGAGGATGTCCTGGCATTCCAGAGCTCTTCATCCAGCCAAAGCTATGACTCCTCTGGGTCCCTCCCTGGCATTTGGCAAGCTTGTTTTCCACTGTGACCGACTGGATTTCCTGCAGCAACCAGAAGTTCTTGAGATGTCCCAGAACTGCCATCGCTCTCTGGATTTGTTCCCATCCTCTCCCGCCCATCCATCCATGCAGGAGGTTCCTCCTCCAAGCTATCCTCTCCAGCAGAATTCATGGGATGTCAGCGTCTGTGTTCTCCTGCTCCTTCATGTGGTCATTAGATCTTGAGGTGGGAATTTGGTGACGCTCAGGTGAGGGTCTTGTGATGGGTCTGATGAGCGGAACACGGACATCCCCTAAATTCTGCTGGCATGGAAGGTTAGCTAGGGTGGTTAAGAGGTTAGCTAGCGTGGAAACGAAACCTTTGGAAGCCAACCTACAAGCTCAGAGAACAAATCTCCACCGTTATCCTCCACCTGAGCTAGAGATATTTGACACTAAAAGGGCAGATTTTCCTAATTCGGTAGGCAGAACATAACTGCTTGGAGATTAGCAGAATGTAAAATAATCTCTCGGCACTTTGCTGTTAAAAACTTCTGCAATCTCACTGTTTGCGATCCTCTTAACCCGCAAACCAGAGAGGAGCTGGAATTTCCGGAAGAGATCGATCGGGGTGATAACAGGATGATGAGAACAGGAAGTTCCAGGCACGTGAGGAAAATAGGTGGACAGAGGGAAGCTCTTGGCATCCAGCACTTCCTTTCTGGGAGATTCTTTTGCGGTTGGTGGCCACAAAAAACTCCAGGGATCCTCTGTTTCTGCGCCGACCTGAAAAATGATCTGGTGGGTTGGCTTTCACGGCCAGGAGAAGAATTGAGGCAGCCTGGGATTTCAAGAAAACCTCTTTAAAATGGCCAATGTTGGTTAAGTTCATGTGCCTTCTCTCTGCCCCCGGAGTGGCCCTTCTTCGTAGCAGGTTGACTTCCAAAACCAACCATTCCTTCCCCCCACACACACCGCCAACTCTGCTAGAGCTTTGTTTGCGTTGTAAGTGGGGGCACCTATAGTGTATATTCCTCTTTGGAATTAGCACAGCAGTAAATTTAACGCCCACACCTGTCTCAGTTACTGCAGTGGTTGGCCTGATAAACGTTTACTCTTCCTGGAGGCGTTTGTCAAACTACGTCAAGGTGCGATTCCTTTGAGGACCGTTTCCGTCTCCAGTTCTCCACTCTTCAGGTTGTTGGCTGACCCTTCGCTAACAAGGAAGGGAAGGTTTTGCATGTGGTTAGGCCAGCCAAGCCAGAAAGCCTGCCCCACCTAGACTGGAGATGCGCTACTTGGGCATCCTCGGAGCTGCCTTCCAAGGTTGGATGCTGAGTGAAGGGTTCCTTCTGGGATCCAAAGGACGCCCCGCTTGCAACACGCACAGCAGCCATTCGCGGCTCTCACGGGGGGGGGGCAATTCGGAGCAGATTAAGCTGCAGAGTTTCTGAGGCGGGAGCGGCTTGGATTTTCCCAGGCTGTGTCTCCCCCTGCTGAGTGAATTCTGACTTTTAACAAGGCCGTTGGGTGGCCCGGAGCCTCAGGGCAGCTTTTATCCACCGAATCCCTTTTCTAGCTTTCTAAAAAAAAAAAAGAACTACACACCGTTTAATGTTTTCCTGCTGCTACAAAACAACAAGCAGGCATGGACCAGGGTTTGTTTTTCGTTTTAATGGTCCATCAAAGACCGTGCAGAAATGATTTATTTGGAAACTGTACAAATTCCTAAACCAGGTTGTATTTTAAACTGAAAATCAAGTCCACGCTCCAAGACCTTTATGGGGATAAGAGATTCTTATAAAACCTGTAACTTGAAAAAAAAAATAGACCAGTGTTTTTGTTTTAGATCCTACTTGACATATTGAAATTAGAAATAATTTGCATAGCTTTAAACTCACTTCTTCTTCCTCCTTCCTCCTTATACGCCCACAGACACATGGGCTATTAATGCAAACTATGAGAATACTCTGTGATGGTGCTAAAATGGCACAATGCAACCAGAAAGTCTCCTTTCTCACCCAACCCCTCCTGATAACCCTAATCATGTCTGGATGTGTTTGTGTGAAAGAGTGCGTGCACGCATACAGAAACGGTTTCTACTTAACTTGTGGCAATAATCAAAAGTCAGCGATGCTTCTGGCCCACCCAGCAAATGCCCCCCAAAGTGAAGCAATGCCCCACTGCCAATGGCTTATCATAGCCACAACTGGCCATCATACCCACATCCACTTTGCAAACCCCTCAGGCACTGTGATTTCTGTACATCTGCACTGGTCTGGTCTGGGATTCTCCTGGGTTGGCACAGAAACACTTTTATCTGATAACCTTGGTCAGTTCCGAGTTGCGTCTTGCAGGACCCCAAATTGCAAGTTTAGAATTTATACATCGCGTCTGTCACCGAGGTGCGTGAGGAGCTGGCGAGGGTTGGTGAGCTGACATCGTAGCCCAGCTTCTTCATGTCCTTGGTCACCACGTTGAAGGACACTGTGACGAAGCCTTGTGAGCGAACCCGGGTCACTGAAAAGGAGCAAACGGAGGCTTAGCAGGGCTATTACAAAGCAACCCCATTACTATGGACGAAATGGATCAGAGCCAAGAGGCTTCTTGTCTGGGGTTCTGTGGCTAATAGGGCAGCCCCATAAGCTGGCACGGGGCACAAATGCGTGGCATTCTCCCTAACGCTTGGAATTCTGAGCTCTGGCGGTCTTCTTCATGGCATTCCTTGCTTTCTGCCCATCCTAAACTTACTGGCGGCTGGCATCCCCTGACCGACGTAGGGATAGCCTCAACCATAAGCAAGCTCTCACTTTTGGCAACATATGGGCACACGTTCTTCTCTCCGGATGCAAGGGCATCTTTGCCCGGCAAAACCACAGTAGGCAAAACCACTCCCAAGTACCTACCTTCACGGCCTTCGCCCTGGGCTACCACCTTGGGGTCAGTGAATTCGGGATATCTGCCCGTCAGCCAGCTGGGAGAAAGACAAAACGGAAGGTTGAATCAAGTCACCCCAGCCGGGGTCTATTCAGCCAAAGTCCTGAGGAC